ATAGTCCATCGGCACAGTCAGACGGGCGCATAGATATCTGTCGCCTGTCATGCCCGGCAGGACGCAACGCACCCAGTGCAGCTTCTCACTCGTTGGGACGTCATCCCAGTCAGTGTAGACGGGGAAGGGCTGCGGATTGGAGTGGAGGACGGCATTGCGATCAAAGAATACCTCGTGTAGCTTCCATGACCAGATGACGAAGAGGAGAATGCCGAAGACGAGGGGCCTCCTCCATTGCTGCCGTGGCGATGGATGAGCCGGGTGAAGTGGGAGGTTTGAGTCAGCGAAACTTTTCGCCGACATGGCCGTGATGTACGGAGGTGGCGACGATCTTTTGGAGCAAGAGTCAAGACTCGACGACGCTTGGCGCGGCACGAAAGTGACGGAGAGAATTGCCGACGGACGATGAGTCTGTCGTCGATGTTGAGCGATGAGTTGCTGTTAGAAACACGAAGACGGATGCCTGGTCCTTCCACCCAGACTTCTGGAGGTGAGGAGGCGGCTCTTGCTGCACCAACGCGGCACGACTAATTGGCGCTGGCCAATGAGAACTGTGATCTGGCGGTTCTTGGCGGCTGATGCGATTCTTGGAGTGTGCCTCGACGAGTAATTGAGATGCATAGAGTAGTGAGACCAGACGTATTTGCATCTGTTCTCTTGTCTGAAATTGCTCACGCGATATGTACGGCAGCCTCGGTGTGCATTGGTGATGTGCCTCAAATGCAAATGCAGGTATGAGGGGCGTTTTGCGGTCATCGGAAGACGGGCTGAAGTCCGGATGCCAGGGGACAGACGTTTGGGGAGACTGTTGCAGCGCCAAGACTGCCTAGTGTCGAGACTGATGGTTTGTTGGAATATTCCATCGGCGTTATTGCAGCGCTAGTGGTCGCAGACTTGCATACTTGCATGCAGGCAGATGACAGCTCTGTTGGTTGGAAACACACGATCAAGACGAGTCAGGAAGCGATTATTAAGGGGGGCGGCAAAAGGTCCAGGACTCCCAGCCCGCGATGCCCTCACTGTCAGTCTCGACTCCATTCGGACACCGGCTGGATTGCAGGGCGCGTCTGAGGAATAGTCTTGGCGTGTGCGATAAGCGATGAGCAAGTACCAGGGAGTAGTCTCGCGATGTTTCCATGTTTTGGGTGCGTTTGGGGACGGAGCCCACAGCGCCTGGCTCCTGATCACCACCACTTCAGCCCAGCCACCTCCAGTCTCCAGCCTGTTTAGTCCAGCTGGCCATGTCCATTTGTGCCCAGGAAATAGAAACAAAAATAAGGGACGCCGGTGGTGGTTAACAAACGGCGGATGTATCCATCTTGGTCAAACTCTGTGCTACAGGACAGTCCCTGGGCCGATGATGCCTGGTGATCCTTAGTAAGTCGGCGGGAAGCCTCCTTTTTTTAGAAGCTGCTCTCAGAATTCCGCAACTGCGTCCGAATAATTGGGCTGCCGAGGCACAAGGCTCGAGGCAAACCAAAGGGAGATACCGAGAAACCGCATGAATGGAAGGAGGCGCCGAAGAGAGAGCAGAGACCCGTTCGTCGAACGGTTCAACGTATTGGCGCTGGAGGTTCGTGAACGTCTCAGATCACCCGCGAGAGTTATTTTGGGAACCGAGCGAGAATATGCGACGAAAAGTTGAAGAGAATACGCGGCCTGGTGTTGTTGCTGGTCTCGACTTTGGCACTTGTGCTATAGACATGAAAGTCAAAGCAATAGCGACCGATCAGCCAACGATATGACATGTTCCTGCCATTGTCACCTTGAAGTTGTATTCTGATGCCGCCGTGCCGGCTTGGCTTGGCCTGAACAGCGCCGCAAAGAGTCGCATTTTTGGTGCGTTGCGTTGACGGGGCGAGCGATGTGGGCTTGTGGGCTTGGATGACAGAAGCTTGAGTGAGCAATGATTGTGCGCGTCCGTCTGAAGGGGCGAGGCCTTGCGCAATCGCAGCGGATGGAGCGTGAGCAATATCGGCAAACGAGCAGAATTGCAACCCTTGGAGACGACCGCCGCTCTGGTTCAGTGGTTCTCGTCCGTGTGACAGTCCAATGGGCCTGGGGTCCAAGACAAAACGGCGAGCAGTTCGTTCTCGGCCGCCCACCATTGTCGGGTGCACCGCGTTGGGTTGTGAATGGTGTTGGGTGGGCGGTAAGTGGCACAGAGAACTGGCACTGTAGCCCCCGTCACAGCGTCTTCGATCGTCTCTAGCGAGACCCATTCCCTTTCTTCCATCCCCGGCCGGCAGTTCTAAACGGCAACATTTGTCGACGGCGGTTGTTGCAGGTGAGGTTGTGCGTGCATGGGGCCTCCAACACGACGGTCAGGGGTTTGATAGTGAGTGCAACTCTGGGCCAGGCCGCCTCGAGCCAAGAATTGGAAAGCAAGGTGGTAAAAGTAAGCTTGTGGTTGATTAAGTCTCGAAACAAATAATCCGACGAAGTTTTGGACGTTGTTATTTCGGCCCCCAGAACTGAGTGGTTGAATGACAAGAGGTTAACGCAGCCAAGAGCGCCGATGGATGGTCTTGGTAAAATCTTGTTCAGCAGGTTAAAGTGGCCGGGGCGGTCAGGGCCCAATAGGCGAGGCAAACAGCTTCCCCAGACGGAGGAATTGCAACGCAAGGCAGGCAGGCGAATGGGGCCGGCCGCTGGGGAAATCGCCTGCAATTGCCCGCTGCTATGAATTATCTGTGCAGAGACACTACGGGCTGATTGATTGGCAGCCCAGGCCAGTTGACAACGGCTTCCAAGACTCACCACTGTCACCAAGCACGCGACTAAGCTTCACCAAGACTCTCCAAGACCGTCCATCCCGCCGTCTGTTCCGGACGAAGCTTTTCCTACGACGCCGCGGCAAGCCCACTTGCACAACACTAAACCACATGGCGCACATCAGCGACATGACAGTCGATCACAGACGGCGCCCTAGATATGTCGTCAACCACTTTGCCTTTCGGCTCGCCAACCTAATTCAGGCCAACTCTAGCCGCGTCGAATCAAGTCATGGAAAGCACGAAATGCCGCAAATCGAGATGGTGTCGCGGGAGGGAGCTACGTGATTGCCCAACTTCCAAGTTGCGTTAGCCGACAGGTCAAACAAGTCAGGCACAGAAGCAGGTACCGACAGAGTTGCAGCGGGAAGACATCACCGACTGCGGCAGCTTGCAACTCAATTCGCTGGTTCCTGATCCTGCACTACACCGCAGGTGTCCAATGCCAAGAGCCTCAGAACCAGCATGGAATAGCTAAAGTGGTTTAGAGCCTTCCACTGCAGCCCCGACACGATGCTCCCTTGACGCTACAGTACACACACCTGCCTCACACTTCTTGCCCCTGGATGCGAGCTTGTTGTGGCTGCAAATTTTTCTCTCTCCTGAATCTTGGATCACAAGAGTGTCCAAACGCATCAAAGGCCACTCCTGGCCACGGCATCTGCAGTCGACACACCCCGATTCGACCATCCTCCCATTGAGTTCGACAGACTTCAGGCTGGTCCCTGGCATCTCCAAGAATCATGGCCAGAAAAATAAACCAGACGTGTCAGGCACGTGCATCGTGCAGTTCGCCTCCCGTCAGGCAGATCATGTCCTGCAGCATCTAATGCATTGAGGGACTCTACGAACACGTCGTATCACGGGGACAAAAGCCAATTCGAGCCTTCAGGGCCGTGGGACGGGACCGCAAAACAGACTTATTGCTGTTTAGCATCACCGAGGGGCTGGAGCCTGGCTGCGGCTGCTTTGGTCTGAAGTGGACGGCTGGTGCTGCTAAAATTGGCTACTGGACGAGGCCCCGAGCAGCAGTCAGCGGAATGCTACGCAGTACAACGGCGACTATCACGCAGTTCCGAGGTCTCAGACACCGGCGGAAGTGTGGGAGGTTGTCGCACCAAAAAGAATCTGCACCCGCACCGCACCACAGCTTTTTACTCAGCAGAGGCTAGCTTCTGCTGCCTCTACACAAACTACCGTCGAACTCGTCCGGCCTCTCTGCATTACCATCCCAGCCCTTTTCGGCCCAAGGCAGTGTTACACACAATGGGATTGGATGTTGGACCCTTACCTACCCTACATCGACCGTCCCACGGGGTTCTCGAGTCTCCTCCTGACACTTGACAATTGGCAAACCATCGGGGCACGGCTTTCATGCGTTTGCCCACCCGTTGTCCAGTAGCCGCCTTTCCAGCTACCGCGACCCAGAATTCGGGAAACATTCGAGAGGGACGCCATCCCGGCACCGGGCGAAAGCGTGTAAGCCACGACTCGCCGCCGCCTAGAGAAACGATTCATTCGGTTGAGCCCGCTGCCGTTGTTTACTGGCCTTGCCGTTGCCGTTGCCCGTGTGTATGCACTTACTTTCAGCCGCCTCACCTTTGCTTGAATCGATCTCTTCCCGCGGCCCTAGGAATTGCACCTCCGGCAATGGGTGATTGCCCTTGGCGGGCTTGGTGCTCCATTCGCCGCAGCATCCGACGACGTCAATACTGGGGCCAGATCTCTTGTATTGCTTGGCTCTTGGCTTGAATGCCTTCGTTGCACCCCTCGCCAGAAGACGACACCGGCCGCACGGCGTCCCGCCAAGTGCCAAGAGGCGAATCCGCCCCCTTGGCGCCCAGTATATGCAAGTCCACGACGCTCATGAGCCTTTTTCTCTTGCCTTTCCCTCCCAAATCCCCCGCCTGTCCGCCACTTCGTCCCATCACAGCAACAGGACAAGGGGAATTAAGAAAGAAAGGACAATATCGACGCTGTGCACGTCCCATCTTTCCATCGCAGAACCTCTTGGCATGGTCTCAAGAGCGACTGACCCACACTGGAAGTACCTCGTCCCTTGACCATCAAATCCACCTCCAGAGTGTCGAGTCGGATCTTCACTGCGCGTCCTGCGGGGGGGCCTGCCCCTGTCCCTGGTCCCGACCACATCAGAGCGTGGATCTCTGGGCCAAAATTGGCATCCTACCTAACATCTCTCGGCCATCGCATAGAGACGCGGCGACGATGCCAAGACCCTCTAGTCAGGTCTCTCCCTCAAGCATGGTCTCGAATCGCCCTCACATCTGACCCTCTTCTACAGGCACAGTCCAGATGGATATCCCGACCTCAGATGCCCAATTGGCCCGCAGCATGCCTCTGGTGTCACCTGCGTTTCATGCCTCGACTGCTTCGCTTGCTGCTTGGGCCTCACAACGAGCATCTAGACAGTCCCGCTGCTCCAACGAAGCCGTCGACAAGTCCTCCATCCCTTGGCACTGCTCGGAGCTTTCCAGCTGGGCAATCCCACCAAGCCGACGACGACGGCAACCCCTGCGCCTCCGTACCGACTCGATCAACGAAAGTCGTACCCCGGAAAGTAGCCCCGTCTGCTAATGTCTGAGGGCCCACGACCGACTTGAGGCTTTCGACGGTACTCTATCTCTTGGCATCTTGGCAGTAGTGTCTCAAGCATGTGGCCGGTCTGCACGTCTCAACCCGTCAAGCTTGGCTCGTGGGGAAATATATGAAGTCTAAATCTCTTGCCTCTCTTACACGATTTCTTCTACTTCTTCTTCAGCTGCGCTCGACTGGTATCCTCTCTCTTCTCGGTTCTCTTCTTTCCTTTTCAAGGTCCAAAAGCTTTATTCTCTTCTCTTCCGCTGGTCGTGTCTCTTTTTTTATACGCCTATTACTTAGTTTCAACCAACCCCCCCTTTCCCACGGACGATCATCACCCCTTCCCCAGAGCCGCTCAATCCGAATCACACTCAAGAGATACCGATTACCCGATCTACTCGACAAAATGGTTAACCGTTACGTCTTTGCTGTTGCCGGCCTTGCCGCCCAGCTGAACGCTTTGCCCTTGAACATCAACTTGGGCGCTTATTCTCCTGCCTTGGTGGTGGGTGATGGTGAAATTTCATTCGGCGGTAGAAACGATGTCTCCCAGTTGATGAACGTGCTGGAGGGCGCGGCAGTTAATGCTGCTCAAGGTGTTGCGAACGCTCCCGCCGCCGCTCCCGCTGCTCCCGCCACCAACGCTCCCGCACAGCAGCAGCCCAAGCCCGCAGCACCCGCTGCTCCTGCTGCTGCTTCCGTTGGTGGTGCGACCCCCGTTACTGCTACTTCAGAGAGCAACAGCATCGACGAGGTTAGTACTACTCACTAGAGTTTTTGATTGTGGTGTCTGTGTGTGCGGGATACACACAGACGTCTGTACCTCATCGGACCAATATCAGCTAACATATGTGTCCAATCACAGGCTCAGGCCATCGCCGCCCTTCAGGGCATGGGCAAGGAGATCGCTCCCCGTGTCTCGCTCACCAAGGCCCGCGCCCCGGCTCAGCAGAAGCGAGACCTCGCCGGCTTCGACCGCGCCCTCAAGTTCGCCGAGGCCGCCCTTGTTAAGGGACCCAAGATCCAGCTCGGCACCGGCGAGGGTGGCTCTGGTGTTGGTATGATCGTCGACAACAACCAGCAGGCCGCCGCTCGTCCCGGTAAGGGTGGAGCTGAGGGCGGTGCCGCTGCTGGCGGTGCTGCTGGCGGAGCTGCCGGTGGTGCCGCCGGTGAGGCTGCCGCTCCCGCTGCTGCCCCTGTCATTGTTGCCCAGCAGAAGGTCAAGGCTCGCGCTGAGGAACCCCAGCAGCCTCCCCGTCGCCGCGCCAAGGTCACCACTATGTATGTCCGCTCCGGCGTTCCTGCTGGTAAGTTCAATTCGACTACGAGATAGCAAGAGACTGGAAACTAATGATATTTGCAGGCGTCGAAATGACCCCTGAGAAGCTCGTCGCTCGTGACCCCATGCCCGCCGGTACCCCCGTTGCCCGCCAGGTCATGTCCGCCAACAACGAGATTGTCAAGCGCGCCGAGGAGGAGCTGTCTAAGCGTGGCTCAGGCGGCGCTATCGACACCGTCAACTTGAACGTCAGCGGCGAGGGTGTCACCATGACTTTCGTCGAGAGCGAGGCTGAGGATGAGCAGCAGTAAATGTACTCTGTGTGGAATCATACCCCCTGAAAAAAAAATGTGTGGACGAAAGACAACAAAAAATTGAAAAAAGAGAGTCCACCACACACACGATGCCTCTCTTCAACCAACGATTCCCTCCCCGGCCTCAGCCCTAATCCCTCATGTGTCGAGACCTCCCTCGCTGAGTGACGGGTCAATCTTTTTCTTTTCTTGTTTTAACTGTCATGATATCAATTGTCCTTTGGGAACCGGGTGGTGGACTGTGTATGGGCTGTACGGATGGTTGAAATTATTAGACAAATTCCCTAAGCATGCGGCGTATATCAAAACATTGTACCCTTTTTTTGAATTTTGTTGTCCCTGCATGGAGTTGAGAGAGTGCACCAAAGTTTACGAAGTAAAATACCTCCCACTTGTTCGCCTGCCACAGCAAAAGCCTAGCCAGTCACAACAATCAATATTAGCAACTTGGTATTTGCGATATTACTTGCGATATCTGTCAACATTGCAAGCGATTCAAGACTGATCATTTATTCATGCATTGCATTCACGATCGAACTCTGTACAGGAGCCATGACTAGGCGGTTTCGTCCAAAGCGACAATTCAACCGGTTCACACATTCGCGTGGTTGTTTTCCTAATGTCTGCATGAAAATGGGCTCCGGGCCGTGGATTAAACCCTCTAGGTAAATTGAGACTGACAGAAAAATACAGACGAGAAAGGAACAAGTGGAATCAGTAAACCAAAAGGACAGAAAAACCCTCAGAAACCAAAATTTTTTGCGATGGGCGTATGATGATCGGTTCCGAGTCGTCGTGTAGACCAAGATGCATGATCGAGACGGCTATTTTTTGTACAACCAAAACATCGGACCGTCCTCTGCCTTTTCCCCTTCGGACGTCGCAGCATCGTCACATACCCCTAGAGCCTCAATCCTGTTTGGCTTGTCACGGGCGGCCAGGGTGCAGGGTGCAGGGGAGGGTTGGGGATTGGGGAGGGGGGATGACCCCCGCGCCGGTTCAGGGGTGTCGAGGCTGTCGGCCAATGGGAGAAATGGTGCGTTTCTACCTGCATGGTTGGAGACCGCGCTGGGGAGATCCTGGTTCTTCGGGAGTGTGGGAGGGAGGGGAGCAAGACAGAGCGTTTACAACCACCGAGCGGAAGCGGGAAATGGATGCGTCTTTGGAGTCTCTCTTTTGTTGCTGGCGGGTTGTCCTTGTTTGCGGTAGGGCTCCTCTCGTTGCTGGGTGTTTGAGCCTGTCGGGTTCCCATCTGGTTGTCTTCTTGCGTCGTGGACAACTGCTGTTGTATCTGGGCCGTTGAATCAGGTGGGTGGTCAGCCCTGCTTTGACGGCGGTGGTTCCCAAGGGGAGAGAAGGAAGACCGGGAGGGCCCTTTTTCGAGTCCGCGGGTTGCGTGACTGCTGAGAGTATCCTCCCCCACCGGGATACTACTCTGCTACTGCTCTGCGTTACTTCTCGACTGCTTTGGAGGTGACGATCACGATTCTTCATAGAGTCGGCGGTTATCCCCATGTGTTCTTGTGGAAGGGTAGTGTGTGCGATGGTTGCGAAGATGCCATGGAGTCGTGAATCTCGCCCGGATACGATTCCGAGAGGCTTCATCAGGCCAGACTGCCAAGACCTGCTGCGTGTCTTGATTTGTCGCTCGCGATTTCACCTTGCTCAACTGCTCGAGAGGAAGAGACAGATGCTTTTCCCGAGAGCTAGGTTAGCTTGCCAGTGCACACACATGGACGCCAAGAGTTCCGTGGCCGTGTTGCTGAGGGCTGAGAAGGTTCGTCGTCGGGGTTCCTGAGAGAGGAGCTTGGCGTTTAGACACCACGCAACTTGCCAGGCTGAAGAGGGTGTGCGAGAAGGGGGGCTTTCTGCCTGGCTGCCACGCGGCATTGGAGGGATGATTTGAAATGTGTCAAGCGTCTAATTGCCTTGTGGTAGACGCGTGACCACGTTGGAAGATCACCATGTTTTGACAGAAACGACACACAGACAAGCGTTCGGGAGGCCGTCTTCCCGAACCCTTGTTTACTTTTTTGACTCGGTGCGTCGTGGAACTCTTTTTTACTTTCTCTGATTTTTCTTCGGGTCTTCTTCGCAGCAAAGTAAGCGAAGTTGCGCAGTTGGATTACGAGACTACCTATCCCATTCCTTGTAAGCCTTCTGCTTCTGCCGCGTGTTCCATCCCAACTTCCCGCTAATGCTGTTCACCCAGTCCTCGCTGCGGCGGCCTTGGGCCTGGACGCTCGCAAAGGGGTACCGACTGGCGCTTATCGTGACATAGTCGCCGGGGTATAGTTCCATGCGCTCGCGGCCGTCAAAGCTGGCCCACGAGTTGGTTCTTGCATCGTATGGGACGCCCACTCGCAGCACAATCGTGTCTGGAAGTATAATGGGGCGGAAAGAGAGTGTATGGGGGCAGATTGACGTTACGAGCATGACGGGGTTCTCCGGGTGGCAGAGGGAGCCGCCGGCCGCCAGGTTGTAGGCGGTCGAACCGGTTGGGGTCGAAACGCAGATGCCATCTGCCAAGACGGAAGTGAAGTGTTCGTCGTCACCGAAGATTTCAGTGTATGACATTGCTATTGTGGTATATTGTCAGCGAACCAGGTTCGAGTGGCAAGAAAGGGGCCCCCGGTAAGACTTACTTGGGTTTGGGCCGCGATCCACCACGATTTCATTCAATATCTCAAATGTTCCGTCTGGGACGTGAGTATGCTCATCTTCCCTCTCCTCACCAATGAGCTCCTCAACGAGATCGAGGTTGCGAAAGTCCTCCTCTTGACTGGAGCTCTCCTCGCCGTCGGCAAGCTGCAATTGCTTTCTTCTCTGGCTTCGCATGATGGTCCCCTCAAATCGTAGGCGTAGACTGACCGTGACGCCTTTGTTGAAAGCATTGGTCAGAATCGACTTGTGATCTTCAAAGTCGAACTTGGTGAGGAACCCGAGACTGCCGAGTGAGAAGCTGAGCACTGGGGGGACGATGCGCTGGAAGAGCCAGCTGACGTAGAGGACAGTGCCATCGCCTCCTAGGGTGATGACGAAGTCGAACATATGCGGCCTGTTCCGGCACATGTCCTCGTTCCAGTATCTCAGTCTTTTCGACAGGACTTCATCGCTGTCATCAACTTTCATTCGTCCAGCCTCAACGTGCTCTTTCTTCAGCTCCTCGACAAGCCCCGGAGCGTTGAATTTCTTGCTCTCCTTGAAGTTTTCTCCCACGTATACCGTATAGTCAACGTCTCGATCATGAGACAGCAGCCACTTGACCAGCTCCCTGGTGCGAATGATCAAGTCCGGGTCGTGGATCTTGGTCAAGACAAAGATGGTCTTGACACGGAATCTGATGCGCATGCTGCTCAATCTCCGGCTTAGCTCGCGCACCCCCCATGCCATCTCACTGAGCT